AAATGGTGTCCAATCCAAAGCTTGCTCCTCTTCAGTGGTTTGGTCTGGTTCAGGTCTATCCGATGGAGGCAACGGGACGGTAGCAGTAGACTCCATTCTCCTGGCACGGGTTCCACAGTAACAAGGATATGTTTTGCGCATTCTAAGTGATGGATCCCTGGTAAAAAATGGAAGGAAGTTGCACACGAAATGCCAGCTCTGGGTACGAGGGTGTCATTATATACGGGACGATACTTAGAACGCCTGCAAAAGTGCAGCGATGCAACAATTAAAGGGCAGCCATGCAAACACTGAAGGTTCCATGCGCTGGCATTCTAAGTGTGAAAGGAATTCCTCTACAATGTGTATTCGGGCCTTGGGATTCAAGTGCTTCTGCCACCAATCAGGCTTGCTTCGCTTCCGCGGCTGTTGCTGTTGGTCCTTGGAACAGTTTTGAACCGTCCATATGCAATATGTATGTATATATGTAATTTTTTTAACTATATATGTGTTTGTATATTCTATTGACGTACACACTGAACTTCAACTGAGCAAAGCAAGGATACTTCATGTCCTTCGCATGTCACTTGACATGTAACCTGAAGCGCATTCTAACTAATTGGAGCCTTACACACCTTCAGTGTTTGATGCTGCGCAAGTGTCCGGAATGGTCAATTGAAGCTCATCCGAAGCTCGTACAACTGAAGCCTTGCTGCACGGATGTTGAAAAAGAATTGAGTTGCATGTATAATCTTACTTCATGAGATTTGGATGCTTGATGATGCTTGCAAGCAGCATGTGAAAGCAGTTGGTATTCACCTTGCCCACGTTCTTTACGAGGACACAGGACATCAAAGCGCCCAAACTTCCTGGCACTTCCCTCCGCACCACGGGAACAACACATGTGCAACGCGGTCCGCGTGCTCAGGCCCAATCATGGAATCCCTAGAAATCCATGGGTACCAAGCCTCAACATGCTGGTAGACATCTTCCGCAATGGTCAAACGAACCCGAATGCCAAGGCAGGCAACAATCCACAGCAAATCAGGAATTTCAATGGATCCGTGTTTTTCCACCGAGTCAAGGTCTTCACAGGCATCTGGACAGGTGGTCGAAGGCACTTACCTTCAATTCTATTACACACACACACACACACACTTGACAAAAAGAAAAGACAATGACGCGTGTACTAACCCAGAGCATCGGCACAGATGCCCAAAATGACTGGTGGTGGTGGGGAACTTTCTTTGGCCTACGAATATAGTGGTTAAAACAATTGGTGACAAGGTACATGTGCTGATGCATAGGGACGCCGCTTCCACTTCTTCATGTTTGCTTTGACGAGCGTTAGTGGGGTACGATGCATCGTTCCTTGCAACACAGGCTGATAGATAGAATGCGTATCCGATGTGTGTATAGAACTATATCTATATACACACAATATCTCAGGTAAGTACATATATATATATATATAGTGACATATTTGGACATCTCTTGACTTGCAAAAGAAGCAGTCCTTGGAATGAGCTTGAAGGATTCAATATCCTGGCTGGCCAAAATGGCTCGCCAAAAGCACTTCCCATCTCCCGCAACGCGGACCACATCAAAGGGAAACAGCGAGGACGTTGCTGGAGGTCCTGTAGGATTGCACTGGCCTATCGTAGCCCTGATCTCTTGCGCCACGGATTGAACCAGCTGCCCATACATGCGATCCTGGTTGGACTGGAGCAAATCATGCGCCCACGCAATGTTCCCCAAGCCCCTTTCCTTCGAGTGATGGAACGTGGTTGAAACAGCAGCAAGGCCATCCGTCTCAGCGCATGTCTCAAGATGCGTCCATTCCCCTGGAGCATCAGTGCTCACCTAGAAATTGCAACCCTCACACAAGAAACAGGTTTGATCAGTTCTTCATTATGGAAAAGCATGCATGTAAGCATGTATATATAATATCATATATACCACGCCAATCAAAACCATCCCGCGGTAAAAATTACTTGGCCAAACTCCACGTCACCATCACGCAAGCGGCAAGCGATGAGCCTTGGGCAAGCACAGAGGAAATCCCAACCAGGGCAATCTTGCGATGGTCCTCGTTGTTGGAATGCCCTGCCATGATTACTCCACAAATGGAAATCTCCTGTTTGGTACAAATGGCCTTCACCTTCTCATCTGCAAAGAGCTCGCCAAAGCCATTCTTCCCCACCACGATGTTGTAACAAACCACACCCTTTTTGCTTTCTCTGCCCAAAAGCACTGCCCCAATTCCAGGGGCACGGGTATGCCATGTTTGGAAACCAAGAAGAGCTGCTTTGCGCATAGAGATGCGTGAGGATGGCAAAGTGGGCCCACATGTCCTCTCTGATTCCACGACACTCTTGGTGATGTCTTCACTGCTGGCAAGTGATAGGTCTGCAGTACTCGCAAGCACTTCAGAGAGAATTTGGCTACCACAGCCAGATGCGAGTTGGTTTGCTCGAATTGTAGCCTGAGCAGGAGCTTTGTCACTTAGAATGTGTGCTACACCCTGAAATGCTGGACAGTATGTGTATATAATACACACACATATATATATATAATGTAATTATAAATACATGTCTATACAGGGTAGAAAACTGGAGGTTGCCAGAATTGTTAAGAAACAGAGGCCTTTGCTGATGCCTTGTCCGCATTGCCCAAGCTCTTGTTGAATTTGCCAGGAACTTGAGCAACCTCCATTTTGTTGATCCACTGACAACACTCTGCCACGGATGCGAACCACTTCGCGACTTTCTCATTGCTGCCAGTGGTAAATGTAGCAGTATACCTGCTGTCTTCAGGTGTGATGCTGCCACGTGGAGAAGGAGATGCAACTTTCGCTATGTTTGCCTCGATAGATTTCACTCCCTCCCTGGTGCAAAGTGCCTCCAAGTCAGACCTTTGATCTGCAATCCTTGCCCCCTTCAGACGAAGTCCTTCAGAAGCTAGCCAGGACTTGCGCTCCTGCCAAGCCGTGGTGTCAGCAGGCTTTTGAACACTTAGAATGTTGCGATTCTAAGGCATTTTGAAGAACTTTCAAGCTTCCAGCCTGCCCACGGTGAGCATCGAATTTGAGCAAAATGGTCTTGGCAGCTTTCTCATAAGCGCATGCCGCTTCCCTAGCTTCAAGAATGCTTCCATAGTTTGCTGCAGTGAATTTGCGAGTGTCGCTGCCCAATTTTACCCAGAACCTGAGCCAAAGCTTTTATGCACTACATACACTACATGTATATATATATACATATATACTTCTAAAAATACAGCAAGGGCATCCCTCAATTCAAACCCGTGTCCAAAATGCAGCTGTTTATATATATAGAGAAAAAGCAAAAGACGGGAAAGTCCTGGGTGTATACAAGCGGCGATGTATTGCTTTGCTTCACCCCTGCTGGCAAAGGAGCGCTTGCAACATCACTGGAAGGTGCCACTTTCTTGGTTGTGGCCTCTGCTGCCGCTGCCTCTGTGTCGCTTGCATCCCCCTCGCTTGGACAAGCACTTGGCGCGGGTAGGGGAGGTTCCTCACATCCTGCATGTGTGTTTGCTTGTGCTGGAACCACATGTACAAGTTTGCTGAAACAGGCCTTTATATATATATACACAGATACACATGTGGTCACCATCACCTGCCAAAACCTCAGGCATTCTATGCGTACAACATGTTGAAATACACATCCAAAACATCCCTTCCTGGTGGTCTGCAAGCCAGCAGGCTTTGTGAGAGTTCCTGTATGGCTTTGTGATCCGTGAATTCAATGGATGATTTAAGTGAGATGTGTCACCAGCACGAGGATTTCATTATATAGTTATATATAATATATATATATAGGTATGATAATATATACGCAATATTTGGAGATTGCAGGAATTCAATGGAATTCATGTGGATTTATATACTCTTTCAAAGCGGGTTTTGATGGCTTCATGCAACATGCACTTGAAAAGCAAGCGAGGACGGCATTTGAGCAAAAGTACATGTCCAACAACAGTTCCCAAAATGAACATTTTCATCTGTATCTTTCTCTGCATTCTATCTGAACCATCTATGCAGGCTAATGCAAACTATTTCCAACCCAAGCAACATGTGTTTCTATAATTTAATGCCGGCATGTCAATTTTGTGTGGCATTCCATCTGAATCAAATGTAGAAAATGAGGGCGCCCTTCCAACATTATGCCTCGATACGCTGGCATTCTAACACTATGACACTAGGAAAACTTAGAATGGGGGGTCATTTTTGGGGGTTCCTAGTGTCAAACCTTTGCCTTGTAGATTTTTAAAACGGCATTCTAACTTCCAGTCCGACACTATAATATACAGAGGGTTACACGACATATGGGTGTGTATTGAAATAGGGAGACCTAAACACAACATGTTGAAACAAAACAACAGCTAAGGTTCGGTTCAATCCGACAATGGAAACTCAGGTATGATGAGATCTGTTGGAAAGATTTCGACCTGTCCCTTGACACGCTTAGACATATTTGTATTTGCTGTTGTTGCGTCATTTACTTTTGGGGCTTATATTGAAATTTAATAGTTGATGTGTGTTGTGTTTTTTTTGTTCGACGTTTATGATTTTTTGTTTTTACATTTTTTACCGTTGTTTTTGTCATTGCTTTTGATGTGCATTTGTTGTGTGTTTTCATTAGCTTTTTGGATTTGATTTTTTGGTTGCGCTGTTTCGTTTGCACGTGAAAGTGCTGTGCCCTGCTGTTTTGTGTCATTACAGCCCGCAAGAGCCTACAGGGATTGCTGAAATGCTTCTTTACCAGGCCTCGATGTCCGTTTTCGACCCGTGCTCCTCACCTTGATGCTCCTCTGAGGATGATCCACACTCTTAGCAAAACTGTGCTCATCCCAGAGAAGGAACCTTGTTTTCATGACTTCTTATGTGAACCAAAAACATACCTAAAACATGCTAAAACAAATCGCTACAAATCCTCATACTGGCGGCGGCGTCATACCCAAGCACCCACCGTCCACCCATCACAGGGCCGCCAAGGCTCGCCAGCAAGCGGAACAAGGCCTCACCCTCGGCGGCATCGATGTCCAAACTCTCCAAATAGGCTTGCACTCCTTGGGCAACGGCCTATTCTCCGTGCGCCGTGGCCGTACGCTGAGTATACGGGATCTCTGGGGGGATGCGAAGTCGGGCCGTCCAGCGAATGGATGCGAGATTGGTGTTCAAAAAGAAATCATAAGTTCACATCGAGATACATCGAGTCTTCATGCAAAATCCAGTGTTTTGTGCAGGAACACCTGTAAAATGGGCGTTTCTTCTGTAAATTCTGTGGCCTTGCACAAGGCCATGGGTGACCATGGATTGGTTGAGCCAATGACAAACTCTTTCAGACCAAGGTCAATATGAGAACGCCACAGCCACATGTTGTCCATTATATCAATTACATAGGCTTTGAAACACACACTTTTGGTAGTCTTTGGACCCGAAATTATATTTATGGCTGCTGCTGGACCTATCATCTCAGACCCCATCACTCAAAATGCCGCTGTGCCACATCACGGTGAAAAGGTTTCGTGGTTTGAGTCACATACTCTCATTGTTGCAGCGGTCTCCCTTCCAACGGAGTGATCTGCGGGCGGAAACAACGGAAGAACACGTCTGCAGGCGTTGAATCTCATTGAGGACCAAGGCAAATTTGATATAAACAAACATTCACGAAAACATGAATGTAATTCTAACAGAACACAAATTATCTGTCTTATAATAAACAAAACAACAAAACATGAATGCACTTCTCCACAGAACGTGTTGTGATCTTCACAACCTCTTCAGCCGTGCTGGTCAGCTGCTCCGCAAGCGGAAGGAACTCCTGAATCACCAAATTTGTTAACGGCGGCTTTCAAATCCTGGAGTTGGTTCATATGCAAATCCCGTCAGAGGTGAACAACTCCTCGCTTTGTGAAGGTGCTTTCTCTTAAACTTCAGCAACCTCCAGATCCAGATTCCTCCAGATCCTGAATGTTCGAGAGAACCGATCCTTGATCCTTGTCCCCTGCCGTTGCAAGGAGTAAAACCATGTAAAACCCGCCCCAACCGAACCGAGCGTGGAACCAGTTCGCGCTTCAAAGACTGACCGAGCGTCGCTCGTCCAGGAGCCACTCGCTCATCTCTTCCTCTGAGAGGAGCCCGTCGCCGCCTGGTGGGGTGCAATTCGTCAAGGGTGGAGACCAGGTGGGGTGGGGCGTCTTTGCTTATTTTGTCTTCATGTCGTGCAAAGAAGACATTAAACAAACATATGAAGAAATGGACACGAATCTGAACATGTCTGAAAAGACTCTGGAAAGAAAATGATCCAAAAGAAGTCGAACAAGTCTTTTTTCTGCCGATTGGTTGGTGGGGCCCTATTCCAGGGCTTCGAGAGCCAGTGGACCCTTTCTTGACCCATTTGGGGATGGATCAATGACAGGCTTGCGAATCCTTTAGGGGGGTTCACATTCGTCGCAATCCACTGCGAGACCCCCAAAAAAGGAAGCCACGTTTCAAACATACTAAATGATTAAGGTTGCAATGCTCCTAAACTTAGACCTTTCTTGCAAAGCAACATGGTTCTTTCTCGATGCCTAGTGTTGGTTGCGCGCTGCTTGAGAGCCTCAGACATTAGGAACTCAGAGTGTGCCTTGTACGTCCTCCAAATCGAAGAGTATGAAAGTCCGCCAATGTGCTTTGGCTTTGACTTCATAGATGTTTCAGCAAACCTACCACCAAAGCTCCCTACCGCCATCCCCTGCCCCTTTTGCCCTCCAACTATCTGCTCGTCCCCCGTCAGAAGGGCGAGCTGCTGTCATCCATAGCTTTGAAAATGCTCTCAAGCTTCTTCACCTCAGAGAAGAAACCACCCTTCACAACCTCATGCCGCCTTCCGCAGCAAAGCAGCCATCAGCCGTCGCAGCATGGTCCCTTCATGTCACTTCCATGACTGGAGAGAGGGGCCAGCAACGAACCCCACGTGTCTGCTCCCGACTCCCTCATTTTCCCTGGAACATCAAGGTGAACCTTCTTGCACTTGTTCAAATTTTGTGCGGAAACCAATCCCCCCCAAAAAAAGCTTAAAGGTTATCCACTGACTGGGTAGGGCCTCCAGGTGACTTGGATTTGAGTAATGGAAGTAGGTCAGAAGCCAATTGGTCAGGGTGCCTCTCATGTTAAGACACACGAGTTTCCCAAGTCCTCAAATGCTTCTTATGTGTTGAGGGGGACCTGACCATACATCTACAACTGCTTGCAGGATACCAATATACACCATGCCGGACCATGCCCAAAGAACTGTGTGTTTTGGCCACTGCACATAAAACATATGTGATAGACGATGATAGACTATTAGATGTGTTGTTGATTGGTTTCCTATCCCCACCGATTTCCTATGATTGGATCACAAAAAGCGATTGGTTTCCCAATGGATGTTATTACAGGGCTTCATGTTGTGATGCCCTGAGAGTGAAGCGCCTGTCGGTCTGACGCCGGTCTGAGACACATATGAAGCTTTCTTTCTCATCCTTTCCTGCACCATGAGCTCGGCATCGTTGCTGGCAACTTCCAAGGTCTCCTTTCGAACGATCTAGGGCAAGCTATGACAAAAGGGCGAGCTATAAGTCTTCTATAAGTGAGCAGCTGAGATGTGTGGTCTGAATTGCGTGGTCTTAATTATATAGTGACTGTATGAGTGGTATTGTTGTCTCACTGGCACTCATCTTTCAATCGGCATGGGGAAAACTGGATGCATCTTTCAGGACAAGGATCTGTGTAGTCCACTTGTATTAGCAGGTGGCTGTACACAGGACAGCAGCGCAGGGGAGGGTGTTTTTCCAAAAGTGGCAGCAAGCGGAAACACCGCCCAGAATGCATGTGCCTTTTGATGGAAAAGTCCATCTCGTGCACGTGGCCCTTTTTCAAAACCCAATTGAACAAAAACACAATTTCACTATTCCACCAAGTATTTTTGGTCTGAAAATAAAACCTTTTTCTGACAACCCCATGGATCCCCGCTGACAGCCGAAGAAATAAGGAGCACCCGGTCACTAAGGTTTCAATTCCTTCAATGGTTTCCTTCGATCAAATCCCGCAGGGTGAGGTCCACAAATGCACAAACGATGAGCCTCTTGAACTGAGTAGAACAAGTTGTGTTCCGTTTGTTTCTGCTACCCTGGCTGAGGTGTAAGTATTACACCCAGGCGTATACCTTGTTTCCTTCCACATCATGATGAAAAGAAGAGTCGTGTTTGCAGCCTAAGAGTCTACTCTGTATTCCAAGAATCCCCACACTCCGCTCCTGCAAAACGGTCCCACATTCCCGGTCCCAGATTCCTTGACAAAAATCGCCGTGATCACACGCAAAACGGCGAAGACTATGACCTAAGAGATCTAAGAGGTGCATGGCCTGGGAAGGATCCTGACCTAAATGTTTGTTCTTTCTTCCCCTGACCAAACACTCCCCTAACTTGGGTACGTTCCTATGCCTGAACTGAACTGCTCAAGTCACAACCTTCTGCAGTTCATGGATTTGTTTTGATCTCAACATCCGCAAAGCTTCAGTCTTGGTGAGTCCTGTCGCAAAGCATTAAAGAAAGCTGTCCAAGCCAAGCTCTGAAGATTTGTTTGGGGAATCCAAGGAATCTAGTATGATCCCACGCACAAAGAGAATGAGATTGGCAACTGCGGAATCTCCAATGTCTTACCCTGCAAACGACACGGAATCCCCAAACCAGTCGGTCTTTCCGGGCCTCCTTTAGGTCGCGGCGTCTATGTGATGATTGTCCATCAGCTATGATACTGGTTGATGAATGCATAATTTTTTTGATTGCCTGTAGCATCCAAAGTTTCAACAACCTTTGACCCCATGTCCCATGCAGAAGAATCTAACGCGACTTTCCTCTTGACCTATTCTATGGTCCATCGAAGATCTATATCTATATACCGCAACCAAAACACCTCAACACTCTTCACGCCTCTTCACTAAACCAGGCCTCAGAATGAAAGCTTCAAGTCCTCACGAGTAGGACTATCCCAACCACATCCAGGAACATTTGTCAGATTGATCTCCCTCCACATACAATTGCAGCCAATAGATAAACATCTGTAGTACCACAATACCGGGGTACCCTTCCGTTCGGATGCGCTTCAATGGCCACAAACATTGAGTGCCAAGACACAGTTATGTACAAGAGGAAGAACACACAATAGCCGTGGCTCACGCTTTCTAGCACCGGCCGGGCTGATTGAGGCCAGTTCCCTCAGTGGCTCCAGCTTCCAACACGTTTGATGTGGAAGAAAATGCACACGGTCTTTTAAGGAAACAAGGAATCGACATCTCGGGGAATTTGGGAACGTTCCAACTTTCCAACGTAGTTTATGAGGCTTCGATCGCTTTGATCATCTTCCAGAAGGCTTTTAAGTAGAGTGCCACTCAAGAAGTTCTGGTCGACCCCTGTGACTTCGACAAAATACAATCGTTCAACCGCTGGTGAGATGGACATCCACGGACAATCCAGCTTCAACAAGGCTGACGTGGGGAAATCCCAACTCTTCCACATTGACAAGAAAGCAGGAAAGGGCAGGACTGGGAAAGTCACAAAAATCCATATAGTTATATATATATACTGGAGAAAAGAATCGTGATATGTGTGGACATGGGGCCATGAGGCAACTTTCAAGCAGTTCCACTGGTAAGTATTTCTGACCCTGGTCCAGCTTTGACCAAGTTGCCGGCAAAAGTCATCTCCTCAAGCTGAATTGTTCAGACAAGTTGAGTCATCCTTCTGGGAGGTTGACAAGAAAAAGGAGTGAGTCCCTTTTCCCTATTTTCAGCTGTTTCTTCATCCTTTGCGTTTTTCGGGGGAGAGGCGGGAGCATCTCTGAAATCAAAGAGCCAAAGAGCATAAAAGTTCATGAACTTGACTCATGACTCTCACATGACTGTCAAGTCTCATACATGGTCCAGATGGCGCGATAAGCTGTGCCATAGTGGATCCAGATCCAGAGCCGTTGTTCAAACTCCTGGCACAATCTCTCACAGCAAATGCGGCCAAGATCGATGCAGGGTGACCGGTGTGTCAAGATCCTACACCACCAAGATGAGTTCCTATGTGGTGATCAAACATGCGGGCATGTGTAGGCTGCAAACGAAAATGGACATCAGCCGAATGGAATAATAAAGCTGTCATTTTCTGATCGAATGGCAGGTTGTTCAGGTTCATTGCCTCCTGAGGACCCGGGTCCCGGCATGATCTTTCTAGATCTTAGTAGATATCTGTGAGCCCTACAGTTGCTACAGTTGGTCAACTCCTATCCATAAGAAGCGCATGCCTACGTACCGCAAAGGGGACCAAGGGACCAGCGGAATAACGAAAAAAATCAGCGGACCAGCAAACAAAGGAACCAGGGGACCAAGGGACCGGATCAACATTTCATTTTGATACGAATCAGTTTAATGTTTGAAGGACGTCATTGATGGGAATCATGTGTCTGTATCTTGATAGGTATTGCGGTATTCCGTCTAATCAGCGGGCTCTCCTCCGGGTTTGTTGAGTCATGTCGACTTGTTCATCGACGATGCAAAGACTTCTATCTGACGGTCGGATCCCTGGACTGCGTGCACTCAACTTCTCAATGTGTAGACCCCTCCCTTTGTCTTCCAGTGAAGAGCGGTGTCAACTGCTTGATGGAAGAATTCTCCTGTACCTGGCATCTTGTGCCTTGAACAGCTGATGGGTGACTCTTCCTTCAGGAATGAACCCTCTCAGTCCTTCTCTTTTTTGTGCTTTCTTTCCCACTTCTCACCCTTCGATGTGGTAAGGTTTGCAGTGACGCCTCACTATTTCAAGCTTAGGGGATCTGAACCGCAGCTGAATGCCACTTAAAGCCGCTTCAAGGGTTGGTATTGAACGGCCAGGTGGTCGGGGTCAATTCGCCTTCGTCTCATCAAGGATGAACTCATGCAGCAAGTTGCCGATCACTAAGCCTGCATTGAGCTGGGGTTGAGTCGTGGGAAATCACTCAAACACCATGAGGTGGCTCTTGGGCGCTGGGTGTCCCAACGATCTCATTGAAGGATGAGCAGAATTACACTAAAGCCTACCCCGTCACCGGACCATCGTAAACGCGCTGCGGTTTGCGATACCATGTCCTTCTCCTCAAATGGAAAGGTTGTCATCCGTCCACCGCTTTTTCACGGGTCTTCATAAGAAACAAAAGTTGAGGTGCACCTGTCCTCGAACATTTTCATTGTCCGGGAATTTAATTCTCTTGAATGGAATGAGAAACGAGACGACGAACTCCACGCGGCCCACGCCAGGAGTGAAAAGGCTGCAGGATGTACTACTTAATTGTCGTAGTGCTTCAACACACGCTCATTCGGAAGATCTCACGGTGGATCACGGCCCATATTACCACCGTCCCAGCAGTACTTCACAATCCGTGACACCAAATGGATCTTAATTGATCCTCACACCCATTCCCAAAATTTGCCATCCATGCTCAGAACTCTCCGAAATTGCCTCGGCCGACCCCACCTGCAGTGAGAATGCAAAGGCTCAAGAGCGCCATAGACCTCAAGTGCGGGCCCCACCCACCCGCACGCGCAGAGCCACTCCCCAGTACAATCGGCCTGAAACTTGGATCCATTTTTGAGGCTTCATCGCTGATGAATCACCTTTTGAACCTATTTATTAAGCATACGAACAACATCAAACCACCTGAATATATACCACGCTTCTCACATGAGGAACTTGCACTATTGAACATCGCGCTTGAACATCGCACACACACCCAAACAAATCTCGTTTGGGCGCTTCCTTTCACCGTGCTCCACTTCGATGCGATGCGCTGAGCACCGGGCCATGCCAGGGAGGGAAGGAAGGAGAAGCCTGGGCGATCTTCGCCAGGGATCGGTGAGGGAAGGGATGGAAGAGGAAGGGGCAGCTTCAGTTCTGAAAGAGGTGATGCAAAGAAAGAGCTGGTCAGAAAGAAAGGGAATGCCGAATGCCAAATAAAAACCGTGAACACTTACGGTATATCACGGATCAATTTCAGATCTTTTAGACAGTGTATTTTCATGGTAGTTAGGAGTCCGCCTTCTTTTGGGGGAGGATCCAGCATCGCATCGCTGGATTTCGCGCGGCTGCTTTCGTTCACCAAGGTGCAAGCATGCACCAGAAGCCGCAGACCTGTCGTTGTGGTGGTGTTGACGGTTCTTCCTGAAGACCCAACTGGTACGAGAACATATCCATCATTCGGGTGTGGCATGCTGTATCAAAGGAGTCCTCACGAATGCCTACCAGAAGCTGGTTGCATCTGCTAGAGCTTGTTGATCTTGGTGATCTTAACCAGCGTGATGACAATCTGTTATGTACATGCATCATGCATCTTTTTAAATTCAAAATAGATAGCCATCGCTACTAGTAACAATACAGCTCTTTATTATGTCTTTGAAGCTTCATAGCAACAAGAAACTACTATATAGGTGGAGGCCATCGCTATTAGGTTACTAGTAGCAATAAAGCTTCTTAGTATCCAACAGCAGCTGCAGGCTCCAAATGGCCGGTGAGAGGAACATTCCAAGACTGGCGACTTTTCTCTGAAGGTTTTTGTACTGGCATGGCTTGAGAGCTCTTTCCTCAACTCTGAAGTGCAAACTATTTTCAGTAGTCCCATGCAAGCCCCTTTTAACACCCCCTCAGAAAGCTTTGACCGTCTCTTCCTGGAGCACTGGAGATGGATCGCCCTCATAGGAATGATCGGAATGGAAAAACAAATTGACATTGGAAGAGCACCTTGATGGAGTTCATGAATTAACTCCCTGTAGATCCTATAGTCCATTCAATCATTAAACGGAGTTTCCCTAATTGGTTGACCCGGTGTTGTAGTGTAAAATCCTTGGTTGCTCGGTATACATTCAATGGTGGTCGGAATCCTAGGGAACGTCTACCGTAGGTTGTAGATGAGAACTACGTCTTAGGTGTTGATGTCCCTTTTCGCGTCCGTCAGGGTGGCATATCCCTGCGGATGTCTTGCACCTGAAGTTGGGGGTCTTCCACCTGTTCACCGGTGTTTAAAGACAACACAACACATCAAGAACTACTATGTACATGCAAACCGAACTCTTTCCACAACCGAATTCTTCGCCTCACCCGCCAAAGACCTCGCACCTCGAAAGAGCCGCAGCGTGCGCATGATGCGGATGGCGCGCACCAGCTTCGCCAAGCGCAGCAAGCGCAGCAGCTGCAGGTTCACCGACTGCAACAGCATGGTCTTAGCGGCTGCATCAGGTTCCGGGGCGAGCGGAAACGCGCGAAACATACGCACCTAGGGGTCCTGATCTCTTTTCCGTGGGCGGTGGACAAGCTGAAGGAATTTGGAGTGGTAGTGGGGAGAGGGGGCAGTGGCCAGTGGATATATGCATATATATAGTTGTACTTCATACCGATTCGTGCAAGAGAAAAAAACAGCTGGAAAAACTAGTCGAAAACAGCGGGAGAGATACTGTTTTAGCGTTTGCACAGCCTCTCCTTCCAGCAAATTGAAGACTCCCATATTCAAGCCCTATTTATGCGTGTGTAGTTCGGTGTACAATAGCCTGGGGTTCATACAATGAGAAGACCTGCTTGCTTGGAAACCTGGGTGTGGAATTCTCCGTGTGCAACCCGTGTATTCGAAGGTGCAGATGAGAACCCTATTCTGCTACATCTCCTCTTCTCCACAAGTCTCCAGAAGCCGGCACATGTATCAAAATGCGGTTTTCAAAAGTTTGCGTTTGACGTGCTTGACTCACAACTCACAATTCATGAGCACACACAAAAGATATACTGTATATATATATATATACATAATTGTCCCGGACTGAAAGATAGAACCACGTCGACTCATACACAATGCCCCACCTCACACTTAGAACCACGTTCTCCGCGACGAAATCGCCTTCGTAGGATTTTGTTGGTAAATACCAGCAAACCGGAGCGTTGCCCACCTACACTTAGAATGCGGGCTCGCCGCGAGAGATTATTCGTCCGGGCCGGCCTGAACGGGGTAAGCCGTCCTCGCGGGGCCATGAATGGTGAAATTTTCAGGCACTGTCCCAACAGTTCTGCCGCGAGGCACCTGTTTCCACTTCACGGGCTTATCAGGAAAATCTTAATTTTCAAGCACTGTACTTCAAAATGAACACTTAGAATGAGGACTATGTTGGGAACCCCCTCCTGGCGTCGCGTTTCCGTTGGGGAATACTATGCTGTAATTCCCGCGCTTGAGTGTAGCCACTATTCCCCTTTGCGAGCTGATCGGGAAATATTCGGTGAGGTATGTTGGCTCCTCAGCCCTGATCAAGTGGAAGGTTGTCTTCCAATGAAGCCTGCGCTTCTTCTAAAATCACGGACCGAGATATCGCTCTGCTAGGGAATTCAACTTACAGAAGGCCATAGTTGATGCTCAACTATTTAGTTGATACTCCAAGTTAGCCTTCGCGAATTGGCTTCGCCAGCGTGAAACCCAAGAGCCTATCACACAAATGCCTTCGCAAACATTTGGCGAGTTACAGCCCAATAAAACTAAGTTTTATTATCTTACTTAACGGGTAGTAAATTAGAATGCGGGAGTCATACCCCAAAACTTTATCCACTGAAGATAAAGCAGGTCAAAAAAACACATAGAATGATGTTTTCGGACGCGACCAAGAAAACACATAAATAACACGCACACTATCTCCAAAAAAATTGGTGGGATGGTCAGGAAAATGGTGCAGTTAGAATGCCTCCTGCCAAATATAGTGTCAATGAGGCTTGTGAACGGGAAGGGTAGCAGAAAAGGCAGGGGATAGCGAGGCAATAGAGGAAAGGCGAAGAGGAAGACAGGGAAGAACGTCGTAAAGGGCAGGGCAGGAAAAAAGTCAAAGGAAAGGGAAAGAATGGAAGGGAGCTGGATCGCAACACGCACACACACACTGGGATGGAGGGGAACAAAAAGGAAACTCAAGAACGCGCACACTTTCGTAATTTAGAATGCCCCGTGCCAAAAAGATATATATATATATATAGAGTAATATGTATCCAGGAGACTCATGTCATGGCAAGAAAAAATTCTGCACCGTTTTCCTGGCCAGTTCCCCACATCATGCGCACATGTTACTTGTATATTGTTCTTTTTGGTCGCATTCAAACGGCTTCCTTTCCCTTCTAGTCCGGTCGTTTTGCGTTACTGTGTTCTCTCTTTCCCTCCCTTTTTAAGATCTTTAGTGGCTTTAGCGTTCTGTTTTTCCCCTCCAGTCCCTTGCTACGTCTTTTTTGCTTCTCCTCCTGCCAAGCAAAGGGTCAAGTGAACTTGTGAACGGGAAGGGTAGCAGAAAAGGCATCGGATAGCAAGGCAATGGAGGAGAGGCAAAGACACTGGCACCTGGTGCGGAAATCGGCAGACATTCGTCAGCTTAGTGAACGCCCAAGTGCACGCAGTTCAAACATGCGCCAGCCTCCTTTCCTTTTTTCTGATCATTTTGCTGTTTCTCCCTTTCCTTGCCTTTTTGATGTCTTTTGTCCCGTGCTTCTCTTTGCCATGAGCCTCCCTGACATATATATATATATATATTTGTCTGGCACGGGGCATTCTAAGTGTGCACATTTCATTTTTTTGCCCTGTCTCTCCGGAAAGCTCCCGGCAAGGGCTCTGCTTGAGATTTAATGACTCTTTTCAGGTGGTTATTTTCCAAACTGCTCCCCTCCATCCCAGTGTGTGTGTGTGTGTGTGCGCGCGCTGTATTCCAGCTCCCGTCCATTCTTTCCCTTTCCTTTGACTTTTTTCCTGCCCTACCCTTTACGACGTTCTTCCATGTCTCCCCTTTGCCTTTCCTCCATTGCCTGGCTCCGACGCCTTTTCTGCTACCCTTCCCGTTCACAAACCTCATTGACACTATGCTTGGCAGGAGACATTCTAACTGCAATCGTATTCCAAACCTGAAGGATAGAAAAACATCCTGAATATTCAAAATTTCCATATTCTTTTTGAAACTGCTTTCGGCGCGCGCGAAAAGAAATGGCAAGAGTCTCAACCTCAGACCTACTGTCAACCGAAATAGCGTCTTCAGCTGCTCTGAGCCTAGGAAGCACAATCCTCTTGCTCTCTGGCCAACCCCTCTCCAAAAACTGCAATCGTTCCCGAGCCTGATCTGCTCTGCGCTCGAACTGTCGCCGCCCAGGTGCCCACGGATCAAGAAATGCAAGAAGACGCCCGATATATTCAAGGAGGATCTCAAGAAGATGACGGTGAATCGCATCGTCCTCTTCCTCGCCTGAAGACTTCCCCGACGCGTCCTCCGATCCCGCTCGTGAGCCTGCAGGACACCTTCCAGTTGCCTGAACAGAGGTGTCCGAGATCTTCTTCTCGGCGGCGGAGGCGCAGGCGGCCGTCGCATGCACCAAGCCGAGGTGATGCGAGCACACTTGATGGGCACTTGGACCAAATGAACTTCGGAAAGATTGAGTTGCTTCACAATTATCCAGGATCACTTATTTCTTGCTTTGCAAGTAAAAAGGATCTCGGCAAAATGCCACACTGGAAGCTAATGAGAGTTGGTAAAGCACACTGGTGCGAGGTCTTACTGGCACAGTTGGACCAATCACCCGAATTGCTCAGGAATGAAGGAGGCAAGAGCTCAACAAAAAGACAATGCAATCACTCGCCTACTCTTCTCTTATGGACGGATGTTAATATGGAATCTTGGAGTGGCAAAGAATGCAAACAACCAAGACGGCCCCGAATGTCTCCTCTGCGGATGCTTCGAAGCTTGCTGCACACTCGGATGCCTATGCATGGACACTCAAACCGATGCGTGTACTGGCAGTTGGGCAACCAAGATATGGAGTGAGAGCTAGACCTGGGCTCAATCAAGTATAGCTCTGGAGATACGTTTGAGTGAGGCTGCTATAACCAGTTAATCCAAGTACCGCACAACCTAAACGGTATTGGACTAATATGCAACCAAAGCAGGGCGCAAGCTATTTTCCACAGCGCTTGAGCCAAATATAAAAGGTGCAAAAGCAAAATGAGATAATGCAACATGACACGTATGAGCTATACATGAGAAGGGGCTGGATTCCCTGTGATTTCTCAACTTATATTGTATATATGTATATAAGAAAGCACACGCAAGGTTGGTTCAGTTGCTTCCTGAGCTGATTTAACCTCCCACGTGACACGACTCCAAACCTGAGCCTCTACCAAGCGGCCAAGACGTAGACGTAGATGAAGGAGTACATGGCTAAAAAAGCGTCAACGACCTCAGAGGAACACTTTCGACAGCCGGGTCCATTAAGATCTATAGACGTAGACGGCTTGCAATAGAGGCGATGTGGTTGATGGGTGATACAGCTGTAAACATGTTGGAGACTGTAGACTGTAGCCTGTACTTGGCAGTGTTGAATCCTCTCGTGGACTCAATTATGTTTGTGCATGTGTTTGCTTAATTTTTCCTCCTTTATCTACACAAGCAAACAGTCAATGGTGCTATCAGCAGAAATGACATCCGCCAGTCAGAAAAAATGAAACATGTATTGATTGACCCATCTACATCCATATACATGGTGCTTAACTTCCACATCCAAAGATAATTCACACATCGCTTGCAAAGAAATGTCGAAATGTGCACCTTTTCAGAAAGCCCCATGTTCCACATGCAGTATGGAGAATTTGGGAGTGAATTCGGTCCCACGATCGAATCGTGGAATCGTGCGAATTTCGCCGAGGACCGGAGGACTCGGCATTCCGGTGGGCTCGTGGCTTGGCTGATGGGGTCAAGACGGTGGACCCAACGGCAAACAAATTTAATCAATCCCCCGATGTTGGATTGCAAAACCTCTTCGACATAACATCAAGAATCCACAATTATCACGCAACTTCATGTCTTCAGCTCCAATTCTCCCAGTGGCGTTGAGCACCTCGAGGAAGTACCGCCAACGCAGCCAATAAACCTGAAGAAGATGAAGGATTCTGAACGGTTCTGCAACGATTCTGAACTTGTTTCATTTGGAAACCAAAACGGTAGGTGACTGAACAAATTCACTGCAAGAAATCAGGAAGGACTCAGGACACACTCTGGGCTACTTGGATGTTGAGGTGCTGAGGAGATTGAAGACTTAGAAGATATTTGAAATGGATCACGTGAAGACTGAGGTCCCTCCCAGATCTATTGCCAATCTGCTGCTACCTTGACAGCATTCCACAAGCTCATTGAGAATATATATATATATTTGATTGGATGCTTTGACTTCACCCACTGAGAGCGACCCACTGCGAGCTTGGCAGGACTGTGGGGATGGGCCGACAAGTGCCTAACCACCGCAAGTGCACCATGAAACATCACAAGTGCCTAACCACTGCATCCGTTTCAGAAGTAATCAGCTACGGATGTCCCCAAAAGCGAACGAATCTCACTCTACAGAGGGGGTTCGCTTCGTGAGCCTCGGGGAAGTTCTCGTTCGGTGTCCTTATCGATCACGGAACATGTTTGACAGGTTACATGAAGAGATTTACTGTAAAAAACATAGGAAACGGTCAACTTCCGGCAGGTTGGATGACTCTCCTGCAGCGCGCTCTCCTTTGTGTTCTTTCAATCAATCTGAGTCTGAATATAAAATAGTTACTCCGACTCCACTCATCTGACGGCTAGGCTTTGCAGACATTGGTGTGTGCATGACTCTTTTTGTCATCCATCAGTTGGATCTTAAAGAAATACATGGGTCTGGGTCAACCCGCCAGGCTGCCCCAAATACACTTCAGGATGATCCACGTATTGCCATCTTTGTTGAGTAAAATGGTCCTCAGAAATAGAAGAAAGGACTTATAATGACTTATATACAGTCTCTTGGGCCATGGACTTCCAAAGACCTCACCAGATTTCTCCCGAAACCAAGCATGCCTGATGATCACCGCTCGGTAATGCAAACCTTATTAGACGGTTCCACCGGGCGTTTCTTGACGAAGTCGGGTAGACCTCCGTCTTCGACCACCTGGAAGGCTCTCAAAGAATAAAACCGACTCAAAGGGTCTCCAAAATATCTCAACCCGGCCGGGCCGTCTGAAAATGCTCATCCTGCATGGCAGCGTGGCAATTTCTTTCGGAGTTCCACATAGCCCACACAGGACTTCAAAAGTGGTCCCAGTCCCAACAACTTTAGGGACGAGAAAATAAGGGTAGCTGGACTTTGTCACGATGACCATCTCTGCGTTTCATCATGTTGCTTCAACATCTGCAAATGCTCAATAAAAAGTTGTGCAAATGAGTGTGGGCGATTCTGTCAGAACGCCAAGTGATCTAGGCAGCTTGGTCACTAATATTCAGGTCAGAAATAACGGCTTAAAGCTTAGTCTTCATGAAAGCAAGAAGCTACTAGGTGGAGGCCATCGCTATTAGGTTGGAGGCCATTACTACTAGTAGCAAGAAGCTACTAGGTTGGAGACCGGACCGAAATCGACCCAACTCAGCTGGTGACTGGGGCGCCTTGGATCGTCTTGAAGGATGGAACCACAGGGACCGCTGTTTCCCTTCCAGAAAGCTTTCCTCCTGGACCTCTTCTTTTTCACGAGGCGACTGCACAAGCCAAAAGGCACGCCAAATATATCCAGTCCATTCTTTTCACAAAGGATCAAACATATTCAACCAGAAGATACCTTGAACTTGGGTTGTTCTTTCTGCGCGTTTCGGATGCAAGGACACCAAGGACCACTGATAAAAGGCGTCCCAATGATATCTACGTCAATCATCCATCGTGCTCCCTCAACAGTGCGATTCATCGTTTCTCTGCGCAGATCACGTCACATGATGTTGGACTCACGTCACGACTGCGAAGACGTCCGAGTTCATTTCATGACGTCCGACTGCAGAAACGAATATCGGCGCCTCGAACTCGAATGAGGCCTGCTGTAAGGCACGGACCAGGGCTCTGAGGATCCAGAAACTTGCGTGGGCTCCAGTCCAACTAGACACACCAAAGCGGAACAGCTGGAATGACAAACAAAGCAAACGGAAACCTGCAGACTACTCAAAAGCTAAAAAACGTAAACCCATGTAACACCTTGTGACTATTTCGCCCGAGGTCAGGAAAGGTAGGTTCCCAGCCAAAGCCAAGTTGGGAAACCCTGATCAAACTCAAAATATCCGTAGGATGGGACCAACTCTCTTCCAAGGTTCTCTTCCTATGTAATTTTAACTCAATATTTTGGGAGGCTCAGAAGAATGGCCAGCAACATATTCAGGCCTACTTCTTCCACCTGGCGCCCATCTCTCTAGATTTGCGATGTATTCAACTGTTCGCCAAGTAGGGTTGGAGTGGCTAACACCTTCAAAAGTATGACTGCCATGGGAACCCCCTATATAAATGAAAGGAGTGGCTTTGTCCGCGGCTTTCTCAAGGCACGCACAGCAGTGCCTCACTTCGCTCCCTTCAAGCGGTGCAAGGCAGAAGACGTTCACATGGGTAAGCTGGGCAAAAGCTGCTTACCGGTTTCTTTCTTGCAAACGGAGAGCTCAATTCTCCGTCTCGGAATAACGTGGAGCAAAAGTCCGAGCAACACGCCAAAGCTGAATGGAGGAGGTCTTGCAGAGTCTTGCCAATGAGTGGGGAGATTTCGCGAAGGTATTTGCTACGTTGGGGCCGTTGGGCTTGTTCTATAGATCTACGGTCTATTGGTGAATGTAGGTATGTATTATGCCACACATGGAGGATTTGCTCTGGTCGAGGAAAAAAACATGATGTCTCTTGGGATTTTGGGCAGTTTCCGACCCGGTTTCGGCCAAGCTACCTCGGTGAGTGAGAAGCATGACTAAGCATGGAGATCCATGGTAGTTTATATTGTTTGAGCTACTCGATGCTATACTCGGCAAATAGCCCCACATGGGACTAGTGGATGGTGATCCCACAATAGTCCTCCAGTGTTAGCAGAGTGCAAAGAGCTGAACAGCTGAAAAGACGAGCAGCACTCAGTGGGGTCGCCTACCAAAGGGGGTAAAACCTCCGCACATGAAAACGAGCAGCGCCTGTGATCACTTGTCAGAACTTGGAGCTTCCCAAAGAAAACGCACTAGGAGCAAGAACGCTACTAGGGGCTCCTGGCCGTACTACTAGGA